TCTGGAATCCAAATGAATGGAATCCGTCCACTTTTTCGTTAGTTGACCAAGAAGATGATGTTGAACACATTATTAATTATTTCTACAATGTTAAAATTGTAACTTTATCTCTTTTCATATAAAAACAATTAAAATAATTTAATAAAAAATAAAAAACCATCATTATCTTCCAATCCTCCCCCACCCCATCCAAACCCCACCGCTACCCCTACCCAAAACCAAACCTTGCTACCAATCGTCGCCGCCGCTGCCACCACCTCCGCTACCATCTTCTATATTGCTAATAGAATCCAAATGAAAAATCGAACTTTTGATTTGGAAAAGCAGATCCATCTCAACCTACAACCCCACCACCACCAAGATGACGAAGAGGGTAACTGGTTTTCCACCATTGAAATCAGAGCCTAAATAAGTTCTGGAGGTAGAACCATCAAACCCCCACCATCACCAAGCCAACCAGAAGGCTGAATGCATTTTAGATTTGGAGACAAGCGCCACCTCCAACTGTAACGACAAGCCAGATTTGGGAAAAGAATTACCACTACCACTACACGTCCACCTCCGCCTACAATCTACAACCATCAAACACTTCTACCACAAACTCAGAGGATATCCACCTAGTCCAATTCTGAATCTACAAATTCTTGGCTATATCTATCTTCTCAAAAACCCATTCACTGATTTTTAGCAAAGGACCAGTTCTCTTGCTCCAATTCCATTCTCGTCGAGTTCTACTGGTTGGCAGTAGTGCACGATCGTGGTTTTTCAAAATAGTAAATTTTAGGCTCGCAACTTTTATGACAATAAGCTGTCATTGACCAACCATGTGGTGACTTTGTGATATTGCCTTCTTGAACTCCTATTGGGGTCAACAAATTATGGGGAATTATTGGATGTATGGAGTGTAGATTGTGGGTGTGGGTGGCGATGTATAGCAGAGTAGTAGAGTTCGATTTTGGATGGGGATTTTTTTGGGTAAGGATATGGGTGTGGTTTGATGGGGATGGGATAAGGGTAGGGCCGTAGGGGTGAAAGATAATGATGGTTTTTTTTAATTGTTCTTACTTGAAAAGAGGTAAAGTTACAATTTTACCCTTGTAGAAATAATTAATAATATGGTCAACATCATTTTTCGGTCAACTAATAGAAAAGTGGACAGATTTCATCTATTTGGACTCCTGATGCATATTTTTGAAAGGTTAAGAACATTTACTGACACAAATGGAAGGTTATAGTAAAATCTATAAAAATTGAAAATATTAGCAACTGCTAAAACAATTTTTTCAAAAATATATTCTAAGAGAAAAACTTATTTCTATCAATGTGGAGAATCACTTTGAAATGGGATGATCAGTCAAAGATTCCCCAAAAAGTGCAATTACCTATAATAAAATAATAGAGGTTACTCATGGCTAATAAGTAGATTCATAAGTGGGATATATTCACCGAATTTTGTCAACAGACTCAGTACGAACCAATTGTATTTTGAGGTGAGATTGCCAATCTCACAGTCACCGCCACGGGTGGTTGTCACTCGTATTTTTCTTATAAAAACCCCGAAACCTAGTCCGGCCACTTTGGCTAATCATAGTCCATTCAACACAACGCAGCCCCTTATTTTGTCTTTTGTCCCATGGCCACCTCCACCAGTACCACTGCCGCCGCGGTGAAATCCACTGCTATCAAGATCTCCTCTTTGTCCTCCTCTCGAAACATCACTAAACCCTTAAACTGTTTCGTGCCTAAAATCTTCCCAGAATCCCACAAACTGCTCCAAATCACCCTGTCCAAAAATCCCATCTCTGAGGTTGTTTCATCGTACAAAGTACCGAGAAACCCAGAAAACAGTTTGGAGGAGGATGATGACGATAAACCACGTGAAGAGTGCGGAGTGGTGGGAATATACGGCGACCCTGAGGCCTCACGCCTTTGCTATTTAGCCCTTCACGCACTCCAACACCGCGGCCAGGAAGGTGCCGGAATTGTGGCGGTGCACGATAACGTGCTTCAGTCGATTACAGGTGTGGGGCTTGTGTCGGATGTGTTTAACGAATCGAAGTTGGATCAATTGCCTGGTGATATGGCAATAGGCCATGTTAGGTACTCCACTGCTGGCTCCTCCATGCTCAAGAATGTGCAGCCTTTTGTTGCGGGTTATAAATTTGGGGCAGTTGGAGTAGCTCACAATGGTAATTTGGTGAATTACCAGGCTTTAAGGGCGGAGCTTGAAGAAAACGGGTCGATTTTCAATACTAGTTCAGATACTGAGGTGGTTCTTCATTTGATTGCTATATCAAAGGCGAGACCGTTCTTTTTGAGGATTGTGGAAGCTTGTAATAAGCTCGAAGGGGCTTATTCTATGGTGTTTTTGACAGAGGATAAACTAGTTGCAGTTAGGGACCCTTTTGGATTTAGGCCTTTGGTTATGGGTAGGAGGAGTAATGGTTCGGTGGTTTTTGCTTCTGAGACTTGTGCTTTGGACTTAATCGAAGCTACTTATGAGAGAGAGGTTTATCCAGGTGAAGTTATTGTGGTGGATAAAGAAGGGATTAGGTCTCTTTGTTTGATGACTCACCCTGAGCCTAAATCGTGTATTTTCGAGCATATTTACTTCGCTTTGCCTAATTCTGTAGTTTTTGGGAGGTCTGTGTACGAATCAAGGCGCGCATTTGGTGAAATTTTGGCGACTGAGTCACCTGTGAATTGTGATGTGGTGATTGCAGTGCCAGACTCGGGGGTTGTAGCTGCTCTTGGTTATGCTGCGAAAGCTGGGGTGGCATTTCAACAAGGATTGATAAGGTCACATTACGTAGGGAGGACATTTATCGAGCCTTCACAGAAGATTCGGGATTTTGGAGTGAAGCTTAAACTTTCGCCCGTGAGGGCAGTATTGGAGGGAAAACGAGTTGTGGTGGTGGATGATTCAATTGTGAGAGGAACCACTTCTTCGAAGATTGTTAGGTTAATAAAAGAGGCCGGAGCAAAAGAGGTTCACATGAGAATTGCAAGTCCTCCGATCATAGGGTCTTGCTATTATGGAGTGGACACGCCTAGCTCAGAGGAGCTGATATCGAACAGGATGAGCATAGAGGAGATTAGAGAGTTCATTGGCTCGGATTCCCTTGCATTTTTGTCAATCAATAGCTTAAAGAAGTTATTGGGCAACGATTCGCCCAACTTTTGTTATGCTTGCTTTTCTGGGAAGTACCCTGTCGAACCTGGGGGCAAGGTGAAGAGGGTTGGTGATTTTCTTGATGATGGATTGAGTGGAAGTATGGAGTCCATTAATGGGGGCTGGCTTGAAAGGATTAGAAATCAAGAGGAGGGGGTGAGTGATAAAAATCTCAACTTGAAACAAGAAATTAATCTCTCTGTTTAGTGTTATCATAGTATGAGACATACCACTGCTTACCTATCTAGTTTAAGGCCCTTTTGAGTTGATTTTACGCATTGCTCTGTACTCTATTTTCATCGGAAATTTTGAAGTATGAGTGTCAAAATCTCGTACAACAATTTTTGTTATTTTTATGTGATAAATACAAGTTTATTTATTTGATCTGAATGGTAGCTGAAAATTTAACTGTTTGTAGCCTATTTGTTCTTGAAACTAAGGGTCGGCCGGGCTTTTGAAATGCCAAAAGATGCTTACGAGACCCTAATAATTGCGTACTTTGTCTATCTTCTGCTTATAAGTAAAAGAGTAATGCTATTTATAGTCGCTCACTGCAGCAGTCGTCCTATGTGGCACACACATGACATGTAGTTATTTGATACATTAATGTGGTAGTTTTTTGACCACATTAATGTATTAAATACACACTTGACATGTGTGTGCCACATAGGACGACTGCTACAGTGAGCAACTGTAAATAGCATTATTCTAAGTAAAATAAGGAAGTTCTTAAACATGCTCGGAATATCATAATGTGTTGCTTTCGGTGGCTATTGTTAAAGCTCTTGGGTCCATTCAATTCAAAACTGAATTAAAAAACAGAAGTTACAGGTTGGCAGCATTTCAAGAGCGGGATTTGAGTCCGAAGACCAGAACTTGAGTCTGGCGCCTTAGACCACTCGGCTATCCTGGCATGGTGGTTGGCTATGCATTTTTTTTTCCCTCATCCTATCACAAATGTATAGATTGCTTCTTAAAAATTAGTAGCACTGGCCCCAGTCAGGAGGTTTTGAAGAACTGGTGGAATATAGTGTTAAGGATTCCGGGTCCTCACAAAATTCGTGTACTTATTTGGTGGTTATTTCTTCAGTTATAAGCTATTTAAGAGCAAAATTTATAAAGAGCATAGATGTGGACATACTAAAACGACTATATGAGCCTTTGATTGATTGTAAAGTGCTTACAAAATATTGTGAGCTTGATGTAGTTTATTTGGGGCGTGGGAAAACACGGTCAATTGAAATTTCAGTTAATATGGTAGTAAATTTTAAGATATCGTGTTCAATTCGAGGTGGAGTTGAAGTTCCTATCGTACATTTGGGTTATGTCCTGGCATCCCAATCGAAGTGGAGTCGAAGCTATCTCTTAGTGGAAGATGCAAAAACCAAACCTTAATGAAATGGATTGATTTTTGTTAAAGAGAGCCTCTCAACTAGGAGTGGTAGAATGCTACTCTCTGGACTTTTCGGAATATGAATTCAGATTTCGCGCATAATGGAGCTATTTGAGCATACGTTGGTTCTTGCCATATTATCCCAAAAATGGAGCGGCCCAAAAATTGCATCTTTCATGGCTATTGCTACGATTTTGTTTCATTGGATTTGTTGTTGTCCATTGATTATTTCACCTTTGGTTTGCAACAATTCTGTACAAGTAGCTTAATTGTTGTATCAAACATATGAACACTAAACGAATTTTAGAGCCTCTAGGAATTAACAATTTGTGTCCAACTTACTTCTAAAATGGTAATTACAGATACCGCAATTATCAGTGCCAAATGCACTAAAAGGGAAATGCATTACCATAATCAAGGGTTTTGTTTTTCAAGTTATTTGATGGTAATGTAACGATTTGTTCCATGTTTAGCCCAGTAGTCCTTCAAATCTAGGGGAACCGACAAGTCATGCCCTTCCGCCGCCAGTCTAGTAAGCAATCTGCTAAAAACACCTGCACTCATTTTCCTGCCACCCATCCGTGCGTGCCGCTTGTTCGGCATCTGTGGCAGTGGGTATTCTGAGAGAGAGTTGGTGCAACAAGATGACTGCCAGCCACCGTTACCCCACTTGTAACAATGTCGAGCTACCCCGGTGCATGAACAAACAGGAACCGGCATGCTAGATTCATCAAAATGTATTAACTGGTTCATATTACCAAAATCCTGTGCGTCCCACTCAGCCTTCGATCCATCAGTGGTGAAGTGTCTATTCAAGTCCTTGCTTACTCTCTTCGCCTTCCGTGGTGATTTTGTTGACTTTGATAGAGCCTCCTTGTTTGCTTTCGTTGGTTTCACTTGGCACGAATTTGCAGCCTCAGATGGAACGGTAGATATTGTAAAGGCTTCAGTCGCTTCCCTCAAAATATGAGCAGATTGGACATTGCGCTTCAATCCACGCCCACCACCATTCAATATAGCATTCATGGATTTATCCTGAAATTGGAGGGCAGCAATGGCATTGTCACGTTCTCTTAGAGCATTGTCTCGCTCAGCAATTGCAGCATCTAACTGCCGAATTGCAGCGTCTCGTTCATTTAAGGCCGTCTTCTTTTCAGCCAGGGCTCTATCACGCTCTTCGATGGCAGCATCCCTTTCATTACAGAGCATGGTGATCCTGGGATTGATATTCAAAGCATTTAGTTCTTTTGCCTGGAATGGGGATATCATGTTCCACTGCAACAGTAGTTTAAAGGAAAGAACTTGTCAGAAATCAACTCTAAAGATGATCAGTGGAGAGATTAAACTGGAGATTGGAAGATTTATATACTAATTATTACAGGAGGGACTTTGTAGTAATCCATCTTATGTCTTCTGTTCTCCCTATTCCCACTGTCATCCATGTCATGCACAATAGCTAGCAGAAGGGAGAATTTTATCTTAGTTGCTGCAAAACCGACCTGTGTAATCTTATTTATCTAGTTTTCAACGCAACAACTCTCCTGCAGTTACAAAGTGAAGAATGTGGAAATTTGGAATTTATTAGGCATATCAAACAACAGCTTCAATAGATTTTTATGTCAAATAACGACATACAATGGAATGGAATTCCAATTAGAGATTAAAAATATGTTCCACATTATAATGACAAAGCTGCATGCAGTAAGATGTTTTCCAAGGTGTGCCAGTTAAGACGGTTTATGAGAGTAGTTTAAATATCTAAATGCTTTCTCTACTTGCAGACAAATATACGGAATATGTCCTATCAAAGAATCTAATATATCTACGTGTTAATATGTCACTGACATCACTGCCAACAGAGAAGAGAGGAACCAGAAATTGAGAAAGAAGAGAAACAATTTAACAAATGTCTAAATTTGGTCCCTCAGGTTCTCACAGATTATCTCAAAATTATTTCTCATCTAAGAACAACCATCTAGGTTAGCATCCCACACCCTCCACACCAGTGTATCAAGAAATGCACACAGGTAAAAAGTGAGCACACAAATTTTAACTTTAAATGATACTGGAAGATCACATAAAAACACCTAGTAGATTGTCAAGACTAGACTCCTGAATGGAATGGTGCAAAAGAATCTTAGTGCCATTACTACGTTTGTATTAGATATATTAGTCCATGTTCTAATAACTCCTAGTTAGAATGTTTTTTAAGCAAAATAACTTCCAGAAGATAGACCAGCAAAGTTGACAAAGAAAGTAGGCTAAAGATATCAACGTTTAGAAAGTGAATGAAAAGAACTCATATTACACTCGAGCCATTTCGAACATTATGTAGCCAGCCTGCAATGAAGTTACAGTCTACAAAAATGGTCTTTTTACAGCTCTATAACAAAATTTAAACCCTAATATATTTTACTAGGTAAGAATGATGATTGGTCGCAATAGTTAATATTAAACCTAACTGAAAATAAGAAACAGAATCAATCAATACAGCAAAGCATAATTGACGCAACAGGAAACAGCTAAAAGTCTATTCAAGGCGAAAGACTAATAATTAGTAGAATTCGAGTTTATCTAGAGTATAGTAATTTGATTTTTACAATTATATTTTTTATTTTCAAGTTTGTTTAGATAGGAAGTTTATTTAATTTTAAAATCCTTCCCCATGTAAAGAGACTTAGGGCAATGTTTATAGACAGACTTGAATTATATTTATAAAATTATTTCTCGCCCTCAATTCTTCCCTTTGATCCCCTTTTCTTCTTATTGTTTTTTATCAATTTGTATGCCCCTGCATCAATAATGTTGATAGATGATAGTGAACTCAGTGCTTTGCTCCAAGTCGTATCACGGCAAATGTGATTTTACAAATTCAGAATTCGTGTTTCAACTGAAGGTTTTACTCTAGATGTTCCCATCTTAGATGTGGTCTCTAGAAATGAATACACGTAATCATTAACCTAAAGTAACTTCCTGGAAGTCTGTTCAGGAGTGTAAGTTTTCAACATCAATAAATGTGATTTTCAAACAAAAGTCTTTTAACCATTTTTTTATTTTTGCTGCCATAAATGACAGAAACCAGTAGAGTTTATCCTGATCCAGTGAATATCAATAGAAAAGCATTGTTGATTTACATATACTGGAACTGCAAGTGTCATTTATAATACTGTTCTTCTCTCCAAGCAACATAAAATTTAAAAACATGGACGAAGTGCATCTTTCTGTTCTTATTCCCATTTTAATTCATTTTTCATTAGTACCTAAACTTTAGATTTCAAGCAAAGTATCAAACCGATCCTGAACCCAAAGAGAGAGCATTTTCGTTTGAGTAGAAAGAAGTTCGACACAAAATAAAAAATAATAAAATAATTCCAAGCGATCCTAAGGGTACTTTAAGCCTAAAGTTGCTTCAATCAAGCGCGAATCATAACAAAAGGCGAACTGAAAACAAAAGTAGTACATTAAATACAAAACAACTTGGAAACCGAACAATTAGTCGTGAAATAGTGAAAAATAGTATACGCACTAATTTCAAACACACGCACATACACGCAAAATGATTAAAAGGAAGGGTGGAAGCAGATAGAGACTTAGAGGAGATGTGAATGAAGTTACTGGAGAACCGGCGGCGACTGAATTTTTCCGATCGAAACGTATCACCGTTCGCAGCTGAAAAACCCCTTCGACTCGGCGATAAATAAACTAGTAATAACACATAGATCTTTCTCTCTCTATCCTCCTCTCCTCTCTCCTCTCCTCTTTTTTTTTTTTTTTTTGTGTGTAAATTCACATGTCGAGTGGGCCTTTTCGATCACTTTCAGAGCGAAATAATCTGTGGATCATGGGCTTCTAATAATTTCGGCCCATCTCCAAAATATTCAGAATTTGCAATTTCAAGATTCACTGCCACTCTCACTCCCTTCACCTTTTCCGAAGAGGAGCAAATTCTTCGATCCTTGATTATCTTCAGTCTCATTCAATTCCAGTGTCAGGTGAAGAGCAGTTGGGGAATAAAGAAGAAGCAGAACTGAAAGGAAGAAGAAGCCCAACAACAATTAACATAATTTGGAATTGCAACGACACCATTTGGCTTTAAATCAAAATGACACCGTTTTGCCGAAATAAGTTGTAATAGATTTGTTTTACGCTTTATGGAAACTGTGACTTTTAACTGTATGAAGGGATATATAGCAGCCCAGGTGCCGGGGAAAATCTATATTGTTTTTCTATCAAATTTCAGTGAAATTGTTGATTGAATCAATGGCATTCTCCCTCCTCTTTTGTTCGTTTTACATCATTTATCATATCTCCATTCAATTTTTCTTTTATTTGGTTACTATTCCAGTTAAGAAACTTCATTGATCGACCTGTGGAAGCTTAGGGTTGCGAGGTAAATTTCAGCTCGTAACAAATTGGTATCAGAGCAGGCGTATTAGACTGGGTTGTTGCAATTATGGATACTAGGGCCAAGGTGATGGATGAACACTTGAAGAAGCTAGACTTGGAGATGGCAGATTTAGGTACAGCATTTAAGGTTGTGACTAGTAAATTGGAAGTCACAAATCAAACCTTCCAAGTGTTTGGTCACTGGCAAGAGAAAATTGAGGATACTATCCTAGATATGAATCAGAAGTATGAGAAAATGGTGGTTATGATGGCACAACTAACGGTTGACCTTAGAGCAGACCAAAAGAGCAGGGGAGTGGAGAGCCATGTGTCTAACCAAAGAGCTGGTAGTGGGTTGACATTGCAAGGTTCTAGTGTCCAAGAGATGGGTGATCGGGCTAAGGGTGATGCTAGGGGAGATACTAAACTCCCTAAAATTGACTTCCCTCACTTTAGGGGAGAGGGACCTGGGGAATGGCTAAGGAAGGCTAGAAAGTATTTCCAACTCCATCGTCTTGATGATGACCGTAGAATGGGCATTGCCGAGATGTACCTGAAAGGAAATGCTGATATCTAGTTTGAAGGCTTCATTGCAAGCCATCCAAATGCTTATTAGAATTTGTTTTCTAAAGAGTTATGTAGAAGTTTTGCAGATAATACTGGAGATAAGGTGATTGAATCGTTTAGCAAGATAAGGTAAGTGAGATCTATGGCTAAATAACAAGATTTGAGGAATTGAAAGCCCAAGTGATGTTATCTTTACCTCATGTCCTTGAAACATATTATATATCAGTATTCACAAGTGGTTTGAAAGGAGAGATCATGTCTATGGTTAAGATGATGAAACTTGATACACTAGCTAAAGCCTTTGAAATTGCAAGCCTGCAGGAATCCACAATACTGGCCATTAACAAATTCCAAAAACCTAAGACCTTCCTACCTAATTCCAACAAATGGAATTCACACCCCCCACCAGACCACCTGATGATATTAAACCAAAACCCACTTCTAAATCCAGTAAACCACCCAATAACTTCAAAACCATCACACCTACAGATTTCCAAACAAAAAGGAACTTGGGACTTTGTTATAAACGTGATGAAAAGTATACTGTAGGCCATATCTATAAGAATAAGTCCATCAATCTCATACTAGTAGATGAAGAGGAAGAGGCTGGACATTAGGAGGAAAAAAATCTAAATCTGAGGAGGAACGAGGGGGTGAAGAAGTCATGGAAATTTCCATTAGTACCTTAGCTGGAAGTTTGAAGCCCAAAACCATTAGAGTGTCTGGTGTAATCAAAGGGACAAAGGTGTCTATACTTATTGATAGTGGGAGCACCCATAACTTTGTGGATGAGAAATTGATTAAAGAATTGAAATGTGCCATAGATGAAACCAATACTATGATAGTCAGGGTGGCTGATGGAGGTAGGTTAGAGAGCAAGGCTTTTTGCCAACAATTGGTGTAGAGATTCCAGGAGTGAGAATTTCAGTTCAACTGAAGAACCCTTAAGCTTGGAGGCAATGGCATGGTGTTAGGAGTGAATTGGTTGAGCCAATTTGGCCCTATTGTTTTTGATTTCGCACAAGGGTATATCAAATTCAAAAACCACAAGGATGAAATAGAATTGAGGAGTGAAGCACCAGTATATCAAGTGAAAATTATGGATGTACAGGAAATGGAGAGGATGTTTTATAGAAGTAACTATGGGGTACCTGGCAGAATCCTTGAAGTGATCCATCAATTTCCAAGGGTGTTTGAAGAACCAAAGGGACTACCCCCATCCTAGGTCTCATGACCATCATATCCCTTTAAAAGAGAGATCCCAACCATTCAAAATCAGGCCCTATAGGTGTCCCTTCATCTAGAAAACAGAGATAGAGAAATTGATCAAGGAGATGCTGTAGACTGGGATCATTCAGGCCAGTAACAGTTCCTTTGCATCCCCAGTCCTCTTAGTTAAGAAAAAAGATGGCACCTGGAGGTTTTATGTAGACTATCGATAATTGAATAACTTAACCATCAAAGATAAGTTTCCAATGCCACTCATTGA